TTTCTTCGACGGTTTGTTGTATGCCGCTAGTCGGAGCAATAAAAAATTTAAATAAATTGGTAATAAAAGAGAAAATATTTTACTAAACTTCTTTGTTTAAAAAAAAAAAAAAAAATTGTAGTATCATCGTCGTGAATTATTTTATATTTTACGAGAGAGAGAGAGAGAGAGAGAAAGAACCCATAAAATAAAACGGAAATGATTTTAATAAAAAGTTATTTTTTTACCTTTCGAAAGGTACACGATCGCCGCCATTTTTTTTTTTTTTTTTTAATGAATATTGCATGAGAGAATATTTAAAACGGTTTTTTTTCTCTCTTTACTACCACTCTCTTGGTATTTTAATGACTTCCTCATACATGGTAAAATTAACGCGGCGTACGTGTAAAAAAGTGTCGCATTCGTTTTTTTTTTTTTCTTTCAGAAATTCAAAAATTTCGGATGACGTCGCAAATAAATCTTCGAAAAATTTATTTTTATCGATAAATAACAAATGGCCGCCACCAATGATAAAAGTTTGTCAAAATGATACGATATTAATCGATGTTAAAAACGATTTACCTTACGGAATCGAAACGTCCATTCATTGGTACGGATTCACTTCCGGTGAAAATTCTCCATTTATGGATGGCGTCCCGATGGTCACGCAATGTCCAATTTATTCCCGCATGACTTTTCGGTATCGTTTGAAAGCCGTCAATTCCGGTAGTTTTTATTACCGTGCACATTCAGGTAATTAAAATATCCTCAAATTTTTTTTTGTAGTTTTATGGCGAAGTTTAAAAAATAATTTATTTGTTTTCTTTTTTCAGTTTCTCAGCATCTCGATGGAATTTTCGGTCCACTCATAGTAGAAAATGAAAACGATCAGAAATACGATGGAGAGGTGGTTGTCGTATCACCTAAAATGTTAAAAATTCAAACTTATAATAATAATTACGAAGAAAATTTACAAATCGAATCGTTAATTTTTGAAATTTATAACATAACGAATCGATATGATGATGATGATGATGATAAAATTCATTTGCCACGCAAAATTCGAGTTATAAATGCGGCAGGTTTAAATTGTCCTGTGACGTTATATACTCATACGGTACCTTTAAAAATTATCGCGTTTGATGGTAACAACGTAAAACCTCATCTTTTAAATAATGTTACCATTAATCCAGGTGAGTAATTTTTTTTTTTTTTATAAATAACGAAAGAAAATTTGCATTGAAAAAAGTAATAAAAAAAAAAAAAAGAAAAACCGTTAAAGTCGTCGATGGTAACAAGAATCCCATGTGGTCTAGTGGCTAGGATAGCTGGCTTTCACCCAGCAGGCCCGGGTTCGATTCCCGGCATGGGAAATTTTTTTTTTTTTTTTTTTACGATTGAAAACGTTTAAAAAAAACTCACGACGTATTTTATTACCGATGTAAAAAAATAAACCTTTGTTCAGGGTCACATTTATAATTTACATAATAATAATAAATAAATAAGCATCGCGAAACGAAAAAAAAAACTTTTCGAATGATAATTTTGTGCAACATGTGCGATTTTCCATACATTACATCGTATAATATTTTATGAATGTAAACTTTTCAAATATGAAATTCACAATAAAGTAAAAGAAAATGGCGATTAGAAAAATTTTTAGTTTTTTTTTTTTTTTTTTTTTTTTTAAGGGGAAAGAATTGATTTGATGATAAAACGCGAAGCCATGAAAGTTATTTATATAAAAGGCCATAATTTATGCGAAGGACACATTAAATATGGATTAAACAAAGGAAAAAGTGAAAATGATGATTGTTATGAAAGCAAACAAATCTCACCAACAATGGGAAATAATACGTGGAAAGAATTCAAACCAGAAAATCCAGAAAATCTCGAGAAAAGCGATTTAAACGTGTATATACCTTATGACGTAACGATAATAAAAAATTATTCTGGAATTGTTGATTTCAGATATAAACTTGGAGATTTAACTCCATACGCACCCTCCATGTTATGTAAGCATAGCTTTTTTTTCTAAAAATTTTTTTACTTATCCATTTTATTTATTAATTTTTTTTTATTTTTGTCGCAGCTAATCAAATCGTCAGGTTATATCAAATTAATCACAAATCTTTCATGTATCCATCATCCCCTATTTTATCACAGCCTTATGACGTACCTGAAGACATAATATGCACATTGGAAAAACCTTCTGCAAGGTGTAAACAATTCGATAATGATTTTTGCGAATGTTTAGGAATTATTAATCTACCTTATAATAAAAATATCGATTTGTATTTAATAGATGAAGGTGAATTATTAATATTATTATTATCATTTAAAGGTATCGAAACGCAATTATTTTTTAACTTTGGTTTTTTAAGGAAAAACTGGAAATTTAAGTCAAACCGTACACGTTCACGGTCACACGTTCAACGTATTATCAATGAAATCGTATGGAAGGTCGATAACCTTACAAGAAATTAAAAACGAAGAAAAATCTGGTAAAATCTATAAGAATCTAGTCGATCCGATAAGAAAAGATACGATATCGATACCTAATAAAGGTTTTGCGATACTAAGATTAAAAACGGATAATCCAGGTAGAGAAAATGATTTTTCTTTTTTTGGAGAACTGGAGAAAATTAAATTTAAGAAAAAAAAAAATTTGTTTTTTTAGGGATTTGGTTGATGGAGTCGACGACGAGTAAAGAAAATTTCAATTCGGGTTTTGAAATTTTATTAAACGTTGAAAATCCAAACGAGGATTTAAAACCGCCAGAAAATTTTCCAAAATGTGGAACAATGAAAAATCCAGATCTAGTCATTATACCAGATTGATATCAATATTTATTTATATTATTATTATCATTTAAAAGAAAACAAAAACCGTTAACTTTTAAATAAATTTTTTTTTTGGAAAATTTTGAATGGCGATTTTATATAAAATTATAGAACGACGAGATACATTTAATAATTTATTTAATTAAATCACAGTAAATATTAATAATAATAATAATATTTTTATTTAGAGGGAAAACAAAACAAAATGTCGGACGTTATAACAAAAATCCCGTAAAATGAAATGCAGGAAAAAAAAACAAAAAAAAATTATTTGGCAAATTTAAATTGAGAACGACAAAATGACCCCATTTTTAAAAAAAATTTTCTTTTTCTCATGATAATCGATCGATCTATCGATTCGATTTTTTTCCGATCATCGAACATGTTAAAAATATCTTCGATATTTTACAGGTGGTCATTTGATAACGTTATCAATTTCGAAAAAAAAACAATATGAACGTTTTATTGTTTATTCATATAATATTTACGTTGGAATTCTATCAGAAAAATTTTTTTTTTTTTAAACGTTTAAAATTTGTCGTGATTTTATTTCTTTTAAAACCCCCTTTTCATAAACGATTACAACAACAGCAACAGCAGCAGCAATAATAATAATAATAATAAAAGCTTGAACGTTGATAGCGTTCGATTAAACTAAAATCACTATTTAAAGCTCACCGAAGAAAAATTAGAAAGAGAAAAAAATTTTTTAAGTGGGAGAAAGCAAAGAAGTAAAATGATTTAACAACATTTTGAAAAACGTTCTCCATCATTATTATTATTATTATTATTATTATTATTTAAATAATAAATTATTTATGTTAATTATTTATAAATTCGTTTATTTATTAATTTTTGTTCTCAAAATAATCCGTGAAAATTTTGCAAATGGGGAAAAAAAAAGATTTTCTTAATAATTTAATTTCGTTTAATAAATAAACAACAAATCAATCAATCAATCAATCGATCGATCACTACAGCCATGATAAAATTGCGGGGGGGAAAAGGAAGAACAGGGTTGACTATAAACGATATAACGATTTTTTATGACAAAAAAGAAATTTATTTCGCAAATTCGATACGTAAAATTTTAATATAAAATATCGAAAAAAAAATTACGTAATAAATCATAAAAATGTATTAATAATAATAATAATAATAATAATAATAATAATAATAATAATAAAATGATATTTTCGAACATTTTTCCCCCCAAAGATTTGTGTGACGGTTAAATTGTTTTTGATTTTAACCCCCCTTTCCGTTTAAAAAAAAAAAAAAAAAAAAGAAAAAAAATAAATCAAACATTCGAATTGTAGAATATTGCGGAAGGTAAATTTAGAATTTTTTTTTTTGTTTCTTTTCTAAATAAAAAAATTTTATTTAGAAAATTTTAAAGTTAGTCGAAGGAAAGAATCTTTGGCGAAACAAACCATCGCGGAATAAATATAATTAAAATTAAAAATAATGGTGAGTGTTTTAATATTTAAATTTCTCTTTTTTTTTTCTATTAATTTTAATAAAATCACGTTAGATTTTTTTGTTTAAATTTCATGCTTTTGAAAAACTTAAAAAAATAATCTGTTCGAAATTACATAAAAATCACGTGTTTATGTAAAAAAAAAAAAAAATATTCGTCGCCATTTTCTAGAAGAAAAATTTTTTAAAAATAAAATTTGTTTGTAAATTTAACTTCTGAAGGGGTAAAAATTATTTTTTGGGTAATTTTTATTACCCTTCTACCAATATTATAGTAATAATATTACTATAATAATTTTTAAGTCGTTGTGGTGCTTTTTTATGTATTCTTAATCCATTTTCTCTCTCTGTGTGTTTGTTTGTGTGTGTGCGATGAGAGGTTTTAACAAGTATAAAAAAAACAATCAAAGTCTTCCCTAAACCTCATATTAAATAATTTTAAAAATTAATAATAATGATAATATGCTAAATATTTAAACAAATTTGAAAAAAAATGTTTATATTTAAAATTCTAAGATTTTATAAATAAAAAAAAAGCATAACTCAAAGAAAATTCGGTAAAAAAAATTATTATAATAAATTTTCGAAAAGGATTTTTATTATTATTATTATTATTATTATTATTATTAAAAATATCCAAAAATCATGCGGTGACGTGATGAGACTGAATGTTTTATAAAAAAAAAACAGAAACGTATTCCTTGAAACTAAATGCCACGCATGTTAGCTAAAAATAAATAGCTTGAAAAAAGAATTTTTTTTTTTTTTTTTTCAGTCTCGCTTACTAAACGCATGGCAAAAAAAAAGAAAAAAAGAAAACAATTTTCTTTTAATTTGGCACGGTCTATTTTTGACTAACTAACTAACGATACAAAAAAAAAAATTCAGATGAGACCACGAAGAGGTATTATTATATACTTATATAATAATAATCGTCGCACACACACACGCACACGCACACGCATTATTATTATTCCTTTGGAAAAAAGAAAATACAGATATTTAATTCAATGCAATTTAAATCAAATTTAAATCGACCCTTATTATTATCATTATTATTAATTGTTTTTTTTCTTAAAAAATCAAATATTTAAACTATATTATATATATGAATGGGGGGAAAAAAATTAACCGCCATTTTTTTCAAAACTTTTTTTTTTTACTCTTGATTGTAAAATGGTTATCGCGATGGTTTTCATACACGATTTTCTAGGTAGCACGAATGTGACGTCATATTTAATCATCGTTATTATTATTATTTAAGTGAATATCATGACTGAATGAAACCTTTCGTAATTATTAAATTCTCGAAAACGTTTTCATATATTTTTTTTCCGTTTGTTTTTGTACGTTTCGTAAGAGATTACAAAATAACAAAACAGAAATTGTAGTCAGATATCATATCACTGCCAAAAAAAAAATATATATATATATATCATTAAACGACAAAAGTTCCTTTTTTTTTCTTAATTATTATTATTATTATTATTCTTTTAAATAGTACCAAAAAATAGAGTACAGAAAAAATTATTAAAGGATTTTTTAATTAAAAAAAAACTTCATCGAATCATCGATAAGGTGTTAAAAAACACTTATTTTAATTCTTCTATTAAATAATCACCGAAATAACTTTGAAACATAAAAAAAAAAAAAAAAACGAAATAAAATCCCGGCAACGATCCAGAAACGAAAAAAAAAAAAAAAAAAAAAAAAATTTGGGCATTAAATTTAAAATAAAAAAAAAAAAATCAGGGTGACGTCAAAATTCTATTTTAAAAAAAAAAAAACAATTTTGTGTTCGGCCAATCGGGAGAAATGATGTTAAAAATTCGTTAAATTTAACTTTTCACTATTATTATTATTATCATTATTTTTATTCGTCGTCTTTTTAATAAATTGATTGTTACATGCCCCCCCCCTTTTTTCTTTTTTTTATTAATTTTTCCCCGGATAAAAAGTCATAGAGTAAATAAATCGTAAACAATGATACGTACGACTTTTATGAAAAATCATCGACATTTTTTTTTTTAAAAAAAAACAATATCCACCATTTTGTTTTTGTTTTTTTTTCATTTAATTAAAAATAATACGTTATGTAACGGTATTAGGATATTATCATCATCATCATTATTATTATTATATAATTGTTTAATTAATAAACAAAAATAAAAAAATAAAATTTAAGCGCAACCTTCAAAAACAACAAGAAAAAAATTTCTTTTTTTTTTTTTTATTATCTTGGATTAACCTCCTACGAAATAATAAGAATAATATTAATAATTATTATCATTATTATTTTCGTTTTGCAATAACGTAACGCGACACGTAAAACGATAAAGTTTATTTATTCGATTTGTTATTAATTAATTAATAATTTCCGCCATTTTTTATTATTAACAAATTAAAAATTCTTTTTTTTTTGGTGTGTGGTGCAACAGCAAAAAGAAAAAAATAAATTCAATGCCGATTAAAATGCTTTTTTTTTCTTTTTTCAAATTTTTAAATAAATAAATAAATGATAATGATAATAATAATATTAAATAAATAATTTCGTTATTTTTTTTTTATCTGTTTGCAGGAAGATTTGGACAAAGATCAAATTGCCTGTGAGTATTATTTTAATGCCAAATTTTTTTTTTTTTTTTTTAATATAGTTGTTATTATTATTATTATTATTATTATTAATATTATTATTATTATTATTATTATTTTAATAACAATGATTCTGGCATAATTTGAATTGAAAACTTACCCAATTTTTCGTTTTAAAGTGCTCAAAAAGGCCTTCGACGCTTTTGACCAAGAAAAACGTGGCTGCATCTCTGTCAATATGGTCGGTACCATTTTAAGTATGCTCGGTCACGCTTTGACGGAAAGCATGTTGGCCGATGTCATCGCCGAGGTCGACGAAGATCGTATGTAAAAAAAAATAAAATAAATTTTTTTTTAATTTTGTAGTTCATTCAAATTTATAAATTTTTTTTTTTTTTTTTTTTTTTTTTTTTAGAATCTGGGGAGCTCGAATTTCCAGAATTTTGTACTTTAGCTGCCAGATTTCTTGTAAAAGAAGATGCTGAAGCAATGCAACAAGAATTAAAAGAAGCCTTTAGGTTGTACGATAAAGAAGGTTTGTTTGTTTATTTTACATAAAAAATTATTTATTAATAATATCTATTATCTAAATTTAAAAAAAAAAAAAAACCCAAACCCCGTTTCCTACTTAACTGATACTTAAACCGCGATTTTAAAATCATAGAGTAATTATTTATAAAATAATAACCATAGAGTATATAAAAAAAAAATTTAATTAAAAATTTATGTCGTTTCATTCACATCTCAGAGATATAATTAAATTTTTTTTTTTTTTTTTTTGAAAATATCCTAGTGGTGAAAATTAATAATTAATACTATGTAAAAAAAAAAAAAAAAAAACGTTACATAATTTTTTTTTTTTTTTTTTTATGAGTGTTATGGAAAAAAAAGACAAGAATAATTTATTGGATTTAAACCGACGGGTATCAGGTATTTATTCTTTTGGCAATAAGAACGATTGTGGCCATCGAGATTAAGTCAAATTTTTTATAATCCTTGGACTTGATCCTGTTTTTTAAAAAAAAAAAAAATTTTTTTTTTTTCATCTAGTTTCGGTCTTTGTTTCACTTTCAATTTCAAACATTTTTTTTTTGTTTTGAAAATAAATAAATAAATAAATTTATTCCAAAGTCGGGTAGTACCTGTTTTTATTTTTTGGTACGCTCTTTACCATTTTGAAAATTTTCCAAAACTTTATCCATAAAATTTTATTTTT